CTTGCACGTGCTTGCTTGTCTCCACAATCTTAGCAGCCTCAGTCGCAGGTTCGGTAGTGTTCCGTGCGGCGTGCGAGTCGTGTAAAGGTGTCGTTTGTTCGTTTTTAGTTGCAGCGTTTTCTGACATGGAGATGATCGGCCCTACCACACACTCATCACCATGCTGGCTGCCCTGTCCTCCTTCACATGATTCCTTTTGCGACATTGGCGTTGGATGCGAGCGCTCTTCCCCGCCCTCACTCCACTGTGCCGGCGCTGCTTCCGTGCCTTTTGCCTGCTTGTTGTTGTCTTCGAGCGGAAATGTACGCTCAGGCTCTTCACGGATGACAACGCAGCCATCGTCGGGAAACGCCGCTGTATTGTGATCCCGCTCCTCAGGCTGGCTCATCTCCGACTCACCAATGTCTTCCTCGTGTACTTTTTCAAGCACTTGCATCTCCTTCTTTGACTCTGAAAGGGGAACGTGGATCCAATCCGCAGGTTCATCAATGGAATCCTGGATCACCAGCTTGGGATGTCTGTCAAATCCTTCTCCCTTCTTCAAGTTCAGCGGTGAGGCAGGCGGAACCGGGATCACCTCTACCCTTTCGATGAAGCTGATCTTTCGGGTCTGCGGTTCACTTGGATGATCGGTATGCCTTCGCTCCTTCACGTGATGGTCATCGTCCTGTTTCGGTCCGAGAACTTCCTGTGCCCCGATCAAATGGTTTTACTACCTCGAACTCGTCCGAGATGAAAGCTTGGTCGTCAGATATTTTCCTCTCCTCCGCAAACTTCACAGCTGAGAGCATGCCGTCAGGACTTAAGTCATCCGCGCTCCCTTGGCTGCAAATGCTTTCTGAACGGCTTGAACCTCGAACAAATCGCTTACCCTCCTGTCGGGAAACTTTTCGTCTTTGATGGATGTCGACCTCTCTTTGTGATTCACAGTTGGGAACCGTGGCTACGATTGGTTCATCAGCTGTGTTCATGCGCACCAGGGGTGGCTTGGGCGTGTATTGCGACGGCGAGGGAGTACACGGAAGGCTTTCTTCCCCCGACACGAAGTCTGCGGGGTGGCTGTCATCAAAGCAGCACGCGACATCGACACGTTCTTGCCAGCTGATTTTTCTGCCCGGCGCGGCAGGCTTCGAGACTCGATGAGTCGCCTTCCAATCGTCGCTCCCGATGGGACTCTCGTGAAATGTATCCTCTCGCTCCGACGACACGGCAGCTTCATTGCAGGCCGGTGATGGCTTATCCATTGAGTTCGGGTCGGCGTTGCTGTCAGAAATAACGGACGCTACCAGCGAGGGCTCGATGTTCTCTTCGGGCGCCCTGGAGTCGCGCGCCTCGGCACCAGCGAACGCAGTGACTGTTGCTTTGTGGTGACGTTTATCACCTATGCGCGTCGTCTCTGGGCGCGGCGCGTCGCTGGATTTTCGCGGATCGATGGCTCCTCTGTTTGAGGATGGCGAGGGCGGGGGGTGTTCTATTACGAGGTGACCCGATCACCTCCTCAGAGGCCTTGTCTCCGCGCGACGCCACTGTCTTCCCGGTCATACGTTCATTATTGTTGGCGGGGTCGATGCGACCGGAGCGCATCGCTTTATTAGCCTCATTACGTGCCGCTCCATTTGGGAAAGGGCTGAGGGAACGCGGCGGCTCGTCGTGCCCATCGGCCGGCTGTTGCCCGGCCGCCACGTGCTTTGATGGTGGACTGTCGATGTCTATAAGTTGTGCATCGACCTGTTCCGCACGGGGCAGGTGTGTGCGGGTCTCCGACTCGGTGCCCGAGCTGTCTGCTGGGCTTCGCATGCTGTCATCCATTAAGCGCCGCCTTGAATTTTCGCATTCAGACGCGGTGCCTTCATCAGCGTTGTCGTCTCGGGACGCCAAAGCGTCGGTAGGTCGCCGATCAATTGCTTTGTCGGTCGTAATCCCCTCAAATCCGGGCGGTTTCCACTCCAGATCGTTACGCGAAACCTCCTTGGGTCTTTCAGTCGCAGTGGGACCCGCTTCTTGTTCTTCCATGGCGACGATCTCTTCGGTGCTGCTCTCGACAGCCGGCGTGAATGCCAAAAGCTGCACTTTCTGGCCACCGGCTATGTCATGCGTTTCGTCGTCACTGTGACGGCGAGAGTCGACTGAACCACCAGCTGAGGGCTGGTCCACCGGGGTCTCCTCCACTTCAACAGACGTCTCCCGGACAGTGGAGAGAACACGCAGTGGTGTGCGGTGTGCGCCGGGCTCCGTCTCCGCCCGCTCCTCCTCCTCCACGTCCACCTGGAACGGGCTACCGTCCACATGCTGACCGCCGCAGACGACAGCAACACTGAGCGGACCGACGGCCGGCGGCCGGTAGCTGAGCAGCACCGTCCTTCCCGTCACCACGTAGCCGACCGGAATGTTGGAGCGCGGCCGAGCGCTGCCGGCCGCAGGCAGCAGCGCGTCGTCGTCCAGCTCGCGCCGCGGGGGCGAGCGCGACGTCAGGCGCTGGCTGAAGTAGTCGCCGGCGGCGGAGCGCATCTCGACCAGCACGTCCAGCCGGCCGGCGCGTGCGAGGTGCACGCTGAACTGCGCCGTCCGACCGCGCCGCGCAGCCTGCAGGCCGGCACCGGCCGCCGAGGCGCTGCCGTCAGCAGGCCGCTCCTCGGCGGCCAGCGGCGCCTCCTGCGTCAGCGAGAGGCGACGGCGGAGACGGCCGCTCGCCTCCCGCAACGCATCGATGTAGGTGGCTAGCTTCTCCTCTGCCCGGCCCGACACCACGTCCGTCACCGTCAGGGTCTGTCGACACAGCAAAAGAGCCCTTAACACATGATTTTCACTATGACAGTCCACCGACAAGGTTACAGGGGACCCCGACGAGATATGCCGACATAACGGGGGCCTTCCAGATGCACCCGCACGATCAGGGTCTGTCCCGCACCCGCAGATGCACGATCAGGGTCTGTCGCTACCAAACGTGATCCTGATGGACGCGTGTCATTCGCCGTCAGAGTTAAACGACACGACGGCAGGTGCCTTCGACGCATGTTCGTCATCAAATATCTGTCATATTTCACGCATGCGTATATCTCAACACAATGCTGAGTGAATGCTCCCTCACAAACGCTTACACAGACACCCAATGATCTGAAATGTTGACAGAAAAATGTGAGCTTGAACCATCGGAAAGCTAAGAAAATATGGTATATTGTGATTGCGAAAGTTAAAGTCTCATGTTTATATCGCAATGGACATGAACAAATGTTTGCTAAAACTTACTTTAAAGCGAGTGTTCTGCGTTTGTCTGAGGCTTTGAACTGAAATAGCCAGCTTGAGGATCATTCTGTGCATATCACAGCCCGCCCCTCGTAAGACCTAATCCGCTCGAATTTCTGAGCTACAGGCCCGCGAAAACGTGCAGACCATTTCGAGAAGACTTTTTCAAGGCCACCCAGGCCTCCATGACGCCAGAATAACGGCATGCAAATACAGCCATTCCATAACCCATACGACGATCAAGGCCAAAAGTTTCATTTTTGAGTGGTTTATATCTAACGTTCGTGAGAACGACTGCCAGATAAACGGCCTTCAGTCAGCTCCCAATCAATGGCGTGCAAGACAGGATGACGTAATCAAACAAGGACGTATTGAGAAGCGTATTTACCAGCCAGAGAAATTCTGTTGTCTAGAACAATCTTTTCCACTTATAAGTATGCCAATAGTTATAAGTGAGCTTATTTCATTAGATCTGATGCTTGCCTCGGCATCTTCAAATGTGGAACATACCCTTCGAGTACATGAGAAGTTTACATGCTTGATGCAGTGTGTCTGCTCATTTTAACAGCCTTCCTTGCGTCGCGTTGTCTGGTGAATACTCCGGTGCGTGTATTTCAGCGGGATCTTGTCACTGGACAGGAACACGTTTTCAGAGGATTTACTGCACGCAATGTTTTAAAATATGAAGCAAACTGATAATGTTGGGATAACCGGACCCGCACTTAATGAAAATATTGTGTATATTGTTAAAAGAGATACACGCAATATACACGATATAAACATGATGCGTATATTGAGGGGTGACAAGCACAAAGTTTGCACGTTAATCAAGGTGGTCGATCAAGGTGAAACACGCCGATTAACAATAAAAAACATGCTACGTAAAAGTGATCGAGAATAATATTCAGGCAAGCTTTGTGGAGTATTCGTATTTTCGAAACATTTCACGTCATCAAATCTTCATGGCCTCGGCTTTTTCCTGATGTTTACACCCCTACCACTGCCCTGAAAGCACAGTGCGTGTTGATGGATTCAGCTCGTCATTACGACGAGGTGACCTTCTGCATACATTGATCTCTAGAATACGGCAAGGGTGCTATAGCGTCCTCGATTGGCAATTCGCCATAGCCTTTTGATCTGAGGCGTGCGACCCTACCGCATAAATTGTCGGTGGGTCTCTTTTAACAAAGGGCTTTTGTGGATACCGCGGAACTTTAACCGATGACTCGAAGTAATGAAACTGCCGGCGCAGGCACCAAGCAGTGCAGTCAATCCTAACTAACGGGCTCAAGAGATCACTGACCTGACCGAAATACGTGCGGCGCCAATCCGAAACAATGCGATGGGCTCAACATCACACAATGAATGTCACATGGCATGGATCAACGAACTATTGACTTATCTTCTGGGCCGTTTGCAACTAAACGATATTTCTCCCTCGAAAGCGCCCTTCGCTGTGAACTACAATAAAGCATATTGATTTCAGGCATCATTGCGCAAAAAAAGCAAATACATACAGCTCACAGATGACTCCCGCCAATGCAAAGCCGCGCTCGACCCGCTCCTCGGCGGCGCCGCGAACCCACGAATCTCTGCGGGCGGCGACTGACCGGCAGCACGTGGAGGTGGAGGCGGGCCAGGCGCAGGGCGCTGTTGACGTTCTCGATGGGCCGGTCGGCGGCGGGCGCCGGCGGCTCGGCGGCGGGCGACACCGCCCCGACCAGCCGCAACAGCGCCACGCCGTCGGCCCAGTCGGCGCCGAAGTTGGCTGGCGGCGCGGTCGGCAGGTGCAGCCGCACCCACTCCAGCAGCTCGCGCCGGTCGGGCCCGGCCAGCGCTGCGGGGCAAAGAGGCCAGGTCACAGTCAGGATGGAGCCCGCCGTAGTCATGGTTAGGACAGAGCCGGCTATGACGTCACGGTCAGGACAGAGCCGGCCATGACGTCACGGTCAGGATGGAGCCGGCCATGATGTCACGGTCAGGATGGAGCCGGCCATGACGTCACGGTCAGGATGAAGCCGTCCACAACGTCACGGTCAGGACAGGGCCGTCCATGACGTTACGGTCAGGACAGGGCCGGCTATGACGTCACAGTCAGGATGGAGCCGGCCATGACGTCACGGTCAGGATGGAGCCGGCCGTGACGTCACGGTCAGGATGAAGCCGGCCACAACGTCACGGTCAGGACAGAGCCGGCCACAACATCACGGTCAGGACAGAGCCGGCCACAACGTCACGGTCAGGACAGAGCCGGCCACAACGTCACGGTCAGGACAGAGCCGGCCATGACGTCACGGTCAGGACAGAGCCCGCCGTGGTCACGGTCGGGACAGAGCCTGCCATGACGTCACGGTCAGGACAGAAAGCGCCGCGTCATGCTGCAATCACCATTACCCCGCTGAAACAGTCCACCGGGTCATCGCAGCACCCGCCAGCACCAATAGCAGCTGTAAGCTACCCACCGGAAATGCATGGACTTCACGACCTGACAAATATGATATAATGCGTGAGGGTGCGTTGATCTGTGTCTGGGTTATGGGTGCAAGTGGTCGACATTGGGCGTGCGTTTACGGTACACCGAGCTAGCGGCGTTGGCGCTACAAATGGCGAGGACACTTGTTGGACGCGGATTTTAATGGACGATGCTGTATGAGCAGCCAGCCATAGCGGCAGGACGCGAACAGGCGCAGCGGTGACATCGGCCTCTGGGGAAAGGCCGGAGGCACCGCTTCTCCCTTATTGCGGAAGCCGACCAACAGCAGCTAGGGGGAGGCCGTCACGTGCTTGGCGCGCCGCCGCCGGCCGCGGCTTATTGTTTGCTAACCGACTATTGATCGAGGTGGTGATTGCAGGTTCTCAAGACCGAATTCGGGATGGCAGTGCAATGACATTCACGCAGCACGAGTTTCTGTCTGACTTGTCCGGCTTTCATCCACCTCCGGAGCTTTTACTGTCCAACGTCTTTTACCGACCAACGTGTGGGCGCAAAATGACCTGAGAAGTCGGCGCGCCCTATAACCCCAATCATCATCACTACAGACAAACGTTATCATCTTACTGATATTTAACCGCTATATAGGCGTATATGGGGTTACGTATATGGGGTTTTATGCGGGTTTCATCAATTCTTTGCGCGAGACCATGCTGGACTCCTTTGATTTGATGAGCTATGTTCCCCACCGTTGAAGCTGAAACGTTCTGGACTTGGCTGAATGGCGAAGTGTTGCTGAATGTCTGAGCCCGACCGAACTGTTCTTAACACGCGCCCGGGTGGCCGGTTGGTTAGGGGTCAGTTTGATCCCCCGTGAGATCTCAGAAACTAAGAGAGCTAGGGAAACCGAATTCACAGAGTGCATTGGCCTGTACGTGGGCTCCCTTATGTCAAAGCTTGAGGTTCCTAGGTCATGGCCTTCGGATCGAGTAAGGTCAAACAAGGGCAAGTTTCAGGCTGGTGTCCAAAATGCCCACAGAACCTAGATATCTGCTCTAACCAAAATATTACAGATTTATTTAAGATCAATGAACTTATATGACCTTTCAAAGGTAACGGTAATTAAAGTCGTGCAAGACCGGTTTGAGTTTTGCGTTCGAATAACCGACAAATATTACGTCAAGCATATGTCTCTAAAAACAAAACGTTGACCTGAGTCATTTTAGGTCAGTGACCTATTCTGACTTTTAAGAAGTTCATGGAACATTTATAATGCGGTTCCTGTTGCCAATAAATTTGAAATGAGCACCAGAAGCTAACCCATACAGCAAGCCCTACTAAAATGAAACGGGCTAGTTTTGACCTAAGTCTGACCTCCGCACTTGACCCTAAGTCAACATAATTTGCTCATTCAATCGTTGTGTTACCTAAGAAAGTATCTCAGAGATGTGTGGTTTTGACTAACACTTCGTTGTTGCATCAGATTAAACGATTACGTACAAAATGATTTCGCTGAATACATGACCTGACTTTGACCTGCCGTAGGCAAGCGACCTTACAAGGTGCATCTAAATTGTTATTACCAAACGATCCGCTATTTAATGCTCTACAGCTATGCATACTTTGGCGCAGCTACGCCGCGCCGTTCGGAAACCATTCCGGAAAAACCTTTGGGGCGTCAAAGACCGTCTCGTTTTTACAGTTTTCTCATTATTTTACCCGGCCGATGTCTGACTGAGTTGAGCTAATTGCGTATTGCTTGCATCAAGACCAAGTACTGTTTAGTAAGGTATGATGCGCATGGGCTGAAAAAGGCGGATCCTGGTCCAACGAAGAAATGACCTTGAGTATTTAGCTGTTATATGGGTCACGTCAAAAGACTTCGGAAACAATGTCACGTTCCCTACAAAGCATCGAAGATCTTTAATAATGAAAAAGACGCCAGTAACACGTACAATGCGTGCAAATAGGAAGATGACATATGTAGAGGTGCTTGGTAATTACATTAGAGGTACTGCAGCGAAAATTTGTCTGAGATCAGCCTTTTAGCAACTGATGAAGGTTTTCTTTTTTCTGACGGCCGATGTCACGTGCATCAGCAAGTACGCTATTTCATGGGCGTTTTTATGCATGAACAAAGGTGGCGTCAGTTATCAGTATGGATAGTCGGAAAATATTTCGATACCAAGCTTCTGTAGTTGTTCTAGTTTCTGCTATGACGAAATATCCCTTTTTCAACAGCATTGTGCAATTTTTGATCTAATTCTATCGGGGCGGATTCACGTGGCGTAAGGACATCAAACACCTTATTCCTGTGACTGGAACAGTCTTATTTTTGCACGCTGGCACCAAAAGCTCCTGGCAGAAGATCTCGCGTAACGATTTGGTTGTTCCCCTTGTTCGGTATGTCTATTCCCCACACCACCAGAAGTTCTCGCTTGATGTGTTCTTGCCATCTTTTCTGCCTCAAAAACCTGGTTATGAATCGTCACAGCCTTGTTGGCATTACAATAATAAAACACAGTACCCTATTTTAGCAACCTCTTCTGAGCATGGCACACCCAACGCTGACGTCTTAAAATCGTTAAGCTTTAGCTTCTCATTTCGGCATGAGCTTAGTGTTTGTCGCCACCGCATCAACAAAAGTTGTAATACAGCGTTCTGTGAAGGTTACATCGCAACATTGGTTAACAATTAGAATGGTCTATCCTTCATCCCACGCTGGCATAAAAACAACTTATGTGAATAATTGATTGATGTCCTTTTGTGACCAGCCTTTAACATCCACATGCCCCGAACCAAACAGCACTGCATGACTATAAGCCACGCGTTTTTTTGTGAGCAATATCATACAAGCGGCTGATACGTTTATAAAGTGTTGCATACAGTTATTGCATTTGGAAAAAACCGACCATACCGCAGGTGTGAGCTTAAAGAAGTGTTGTAACAATCGTTGCTTTCGAAAAACACCAATACAACCACAGGTTTGACCTGTCACTATTTTGCTCCAACCTGAACACTCGATGTGATTGGAATCACTATACCTGTTCTTGACCGCTACATGCAGCAGTTTTTCGGCTCAGTGCGCGGTGCATGGCAGAGCATGAGGTAAGTTCGCCTGTTCAGTATCTACCTGTTGGTGCTGCCTCCTGGACAGTTATTTTTCGTGACTCAGACACGATTTGGCTATGCATCGCAATTCTCCGCGTCCGAGACCCTCGAACCTCCCCCCCCCCCCCCTCCCCCTCCAGGTTGGTGACGTCGTGCTTATACTTTACATCTCTGTCTGTCTGTTCTGTTGCCAAGCAACGTGCCGCTAAGATCCGCTTGACACGAGGCATCACAAAAGATGCTTTTACCACGCCTCAACGCCTCAACAACGTGACAACGACAGTGGGTCTAAAACTGTGATACACTCAAATAGAGCACACATTCAGACGCCTAGTTTGAGCAAAAGGACCTCCCACCATTGCCACTGAGCGGCATCCTCCGTATGAAGATCAGATTCATCCATCGCACAGCTTGAGACGGCTCAGTTGTGAAATTGTGCAACGCAGGCAGGCCGTTCCGCTGTGGTGTGATGGTTGCAAGGTCTTTGATTTGAAACCCAAATATGCAGATGAACCTCAAATGTTAGGTGGCCCTGAATGCCTCTAGTTTTTTTTTAAGGTTGCGTCGGGCAAAATTACAACGGGATTTTAATGCAATGCGCTGTCAGCACCAGCTGTTGACTATGAAGATCATGCTTCTATTTGACAGTGCTAGCTGAAAAAAATTAACTTGCATGACTGCCTTTTCACGAAGCTTTCAATTTCTGTAGGTGATTGCACGTAACACAAATTAAATGTTTGGGTAAAGCATAGTCACCTGGCGAACACTGCAGAGATTTGCTTCCGTTTTTTTTAGTCCCAAGTGCATCCATGATGGGAACGAGACGTTAATGAGATAAGATCTCAAAACGTGATGTGTTTCACCTTGGGCTCAACGTCATTATCACCGCTAGCAGACATGACCTCTAGATGCAGCGCTTACCTGGCTTTTGAAAACCCAGCCAAATCCAGAAGAAGTGCCATGCTTCCCAGAACTTCTCGAACGTCCACGAAGCCAGTCCTCCCAGTCCTTGGGCGACGTCTTGCAGCACCTCGCTGAGCGTCATGCTCACATCAAGTATCTGCAGAGCAAGGTTACAATCATCATTAACGTCACATCTTCAACTCGCCTTTACGCATTCTGCTAGTCTCAGATTTATGCAGTTAGATTTTACGACAGCGCAGCGCACCCTGGCCGGGGCTTACAATTAAGACCCTCATATCAATAGCTAAAGGTCCTAGTCCGCGCCAGGTATGAGATTTTCGTCCCATGAAATTCTTGTGCAATCCAAGAGCGAAATAAGATTAGAACTGAAATATAGGACCGGGTTACTTCACGTAAAGTACGCACAGCTCCAAAAAACGTATTTTTATGCAAGATTTGGCAACTGACGGAGAAAGCTCGAGTGTTCTAAAATCATTTGTCCTTGAACTGAAGCGCTTTATTTCAGAAACTTGTGATGCTGGACTGAATATAACGATGTGCGGCAGTTTAAGATATTTTTGATGTACATAAAGACATGCTTTCGGTAAATTGTCGGACAAAAACCGGCCCAGGTCACATGATTTTAGAACTAGACATCCTCTTGTTCAGGCAGCCCTTTGCTCACGCCATGCAACGCAAGTTTCAGGGTGGCTTTTATCGGTTTGTTTGCACGCACACAACTGATTGCGTCGAGCAGCATGTTTTCCCAGGCAAGGTACGGTTAGGCATAGTGATAGGATATTAACAGGAAATTCGTCGTCAGCTAATTTTTAATAGCCGGTTTTACCAAGAAATGCTATGATCCGCAGGCAATGATTATAGCTAAGCTTTTATGCGTTATTTGGTTATCAGATACACGAAAAGACGTAAGAGCCAACAGGAATTACGTGCAATTGATAACCATGTCTATAAAAAGCACGCGAAAGCAACACATTCGAAAAGGTGTCAGCATCACATTATTTGCATTTCTTCGCTTCTCAACATATCCGTTTTAGGCACTGGCTCCTGGAGACGCTTTTTTCATAATCTGAACACGATTGTTCATACTTTTGCGTTTCTCAGCATCAAAATAATTTTCGTTCCACAGAAAAAACACAGAGCTGGCTCCACGCTAAACTGAAGACTCTCTAAACTTAAAACAAATTGAAAAAGCTTGGTCAAAAAAGCGGTAACGCGTTCTCAGAATAACGAAACTGCAAAGTGTGTGTTGGCAAAGACGAAAACATGAAAAAGCGTCCAGGAAGGCAGAAGTTTGGAAAAGAGAATGGCATGGGAAGCGTCTTTCCGTTTAAACGCTTCGGTATCATCTTCATTTTCATGGCTGGCATACGTTGACCAGTTGTGATACCTATTTCGCTTTGTTGCGACGGGAACCTTTGCGTATTCATTCATCTAGTTTTCCATGTTGGAGACTGTTGTGTGCTAGGTGAGCCGCCGTTGTGTCCATCAAGTCTATACGTTTGGTGACTCCGTGAACAGCACAGAGTTGTTATGTAGCTGCACTGCAGCAAAAAAGGTTCCAGTTTAAGATAGTAAAATTCTGCAAGGTACGCGTCTTAATCTGCAGGTGTGCTATATTTATGGAAAATGGGACATGCACTGATCGGTCTGACGATTCAATTTGCTCAAAGACTATCGTTTCTCCAAATTTCCAGGGCTTTCACGACTTGAGGCAATGCCAGACAAGAACATAGTTTGTCAGGAAACATTCATAAAATGGCTGAAAAAGTGAATCCGCAAAAAAAGACACTGTAGGTCGGGCGTAGATATCTCTCAGCGGCGTAGTTGCGCTTAACGGATGTGGGGAGCTGGTGAATGAAAAAAGATTGTACCTACGCTCAGGTGGCGCGAACAAGCTTGTTCTTCCAAGACCTGTACCATTTCCTGCTATTTACCCTCGCCCTGATCCGCCATTTTTCATAACGCGAACTGTTAAGGGGATCGATAGATGGGGTCGAACAGTGTAATCTCTGCTTGACCTTTTCACACTAATCACAATAAAGCCAAACAAAAAGCACGGGTGGATTGTTCTTAACGGGATATCGCGACTGATATTAGTTTTGCGTTGTTCGGTCAATTATGGACCCCATTATGCTAGGTCAAAGGCAATTTTTCCCTGAAAATTGCCTTTTCAGCTCGATGACATCATACATACGAGGCCATGTTTCGAGCAGGCACAAAAACTGAACAGAGCTGTCCCTTACTCCAGTTTGAGGGCAATTATATATATTTTTACGTGTTTTGGGGATATCTTATGATATATGGCTCCGTTATTGTAGCATTATCGGCCCGCAGCACGCGCTTCGCCGCATCGTTGGCTGGGGCGCGTCGATTCGTGCCGGCCGTAGATCGCCGCGCAGCATTCCTCAAAATCCATCGCTGCTCCGAAACCAGAAAAGCTAGGGACACTTCTCTGGCCTCAAAACACACATAATAGACGCCCTCATGAGTGCTGAAAATTTGGACGCGATCCAATTGCATGCCGGAAAGGTATTGGTATTCTCAAAGGTATTATATATGGAAAGGTATTCTCAAAAAGCCTTAAGCTTCTGGAAGGGTCGGGGGGAGGGGGGAGCTGGAGCCCCAGCTGAATAGGAAGGTACACCGCTGGCATCAATGCAACAACGGGGTATGCTTAATAATCACAGGTGGTTCGGATGATGATTATCATTATGCATAAATGACATAAATAATTGATGATTTGATGATCAAGGATGACTAGGATGATCGGTCATCACCCGAATTACGGATGATCTTCCGGATGGTGGCGGATCTGGCACGGTAAAATTCATCCACCGCCCTCATCGAACCGCCAGCAGCGAGGAACTCCAGCGGGGCGGTTAGACGCTCTCCTGGGGAGATGAGATAACACATATCCGTGCACTGTTTCCGTAATTTGTAGGACATGACGGTGAAGGGCTTGTCGAATTCGTCGACGCACATCCGGAAGTAACGCTGTGCGTGTTCGGGTCCGGCTCCCGCGCGAGGCTGCCACACACTCCCGCGCGTGTATGGTATTCGCCACTCTGGTCCCGATGCAACAGTGTCGTACGCACCCAGCAGGCTCGTTGAGCGTGCCGCCCACGCTGTCGGCGCCGTCACAGAAGCAACAGCCGCAGGAGGCGGAGGCGATCGACCATGACAAGTAATTGAAAAGGCGGAGACGGATCTACGACAAGCAATTATGCTTTGCTCGCTATGGGCTGGACAACCCGTCAAACTTCTCGTTAAAGTTGCCATCGGATGCCAGGCATGTAGATACTGGCAAACGTGACCACAAACGTGAAAAAGCACGCTGAGGACACAAAAAAAAACTCGAAAAGGGCATTCTTATAAAGACGAAATCTAAAAAAAAAAATAATTCATAAAACGCAAAATCATGAAGAGCGCGGGCCGTGGAGCCAGACCCTCACAAATAACTACATATAAAACTTACGAACATCGGAAACACAAGACAATGACGCTGACACTCTCAGCTAATTGATGCACACCTGTCCATGGGGAATTCAGCCGGTGTCCATGCACTTCCCAGAGCGAGAGCCCTTCCTGTGACACTGCCGCACCGGCTCGTCTCCAATGTCTCTGCCACTTCCGCATGGCACCCAGGGGCAGTAGCAGCGAGAAGCCCAGTGATGAACCCTGATCCCATTAGACGTTTAGCATAACGCCACTTAGGATCACCAACGACAGATTTAGAATGGCAGTCTTCTTCACCAGACGGCGACAAATTTGTCTATTAAAAGGAAAAACTCTATTCATTTGGTAAAAATGTAACTGCTCGCGTATAATTATGATAGATGCATCGTGGTCTGACTGAGAAGCCAGTTTTTCTCCAAATTCCATCAAACCTTAAGTAAATCAAAACATGTCAGTCAGGCCATTACCACTCAAATACCGCACACTATGGTTTGAGCACATTTGCATGATGTCATCCACATAGCCTATCTGCGGAGGACTGTCGCATCGGCTCTGGTCCGTTTCAAACTTCTGTTCCATGATTGGCCACTACTGGCGTATGCGAAAGCGCCAATTTCGAAGCTGATTGGCCACCGACCGCCACACCGCGTCACGGGCATCCACCGGTGCTGTTCAAAGCTATCAAGATGTCAAAATGCTCTTCCTGCACCTCGAGTCATCCAGCTCCACTTTCCGTGCATCGTGTGCGAAGCTGACTAGCTCTGAGCGTGGGTGGAAGCTTTCCGTTAATTGGAAAGCAGCTACACTTCTAGCATTTTGTAAAATAACCTCAATGTTTTAGCTTTTTATGTATGTGTGGTGTGCACAGTTGCCCACAAATGCATCCCTATCGTCTCTTGTAAAGTTGTCTCTGAGGTTTCAGATAGCGGTACGGAAGATCACAGAACTTCAAAGTTGGTAACCTCCTGCCAGATCGAGGTGCAACCATGTTAACCATGTTCCACATGATATGTCATGCTATAAAAATGCTTACGTAAATATGCAATGGGCTGCACCACGCGTATTGAAATGGGTTTTGATGCATTATTTCGGCTCAAGAGGGAAAAATCGGCACCCTGCTACATTGCGAAGAACATGCTATTTATTCGTCAGGCGGCATCTACAGTTGGTCCAGACTGGCTGCAACAGGTGAATGACTGACTTGAGGGTTTGAGGCGATTATCTGGGGAACGGTTGCCAGTAGCGCGTGTCACGCACTTGTCCGCGCTACCCACAGTGCAGTGGAAGTACCCAGACGGCAGCAGAAGAAAACAAAACTATATGGTCCTGATTGTTGATGGTAATGGGGCCAGGGACCCATGGAGAGGATAGAGATGACCTTGCTCGGTGGGGTGGAAACAACGACATCTGCTCATTTTAGTGAATCAGTGAAGAACGTATGGCTGATGTTCAGAATGCCATTTGTCCCGAATGCACGTCAGAAGGACATACTCTCTTAGGCATGTGTTGAACATGGCCTTGCTATGGCCTCCGCTGCGAGCTTCGTTTTCATTTCTATAGAAATCTGGGGACGTCTTAGCAGCGGACCCTAGACCAAACAAACAGGTCAAAAATATGTCCGCCTCTGGGCTTGCCTACATTTACCCAGATAAACAGCACTAGGCGATGCTATGTATACAAATCAGCAGCATGATCGTTTCAGCCTGGCTTGCTGTGCCGTCTGGATTGTGAGCGCGCGTTACGTCTGGGGGACGCCATCACCTGCATTTTTTAACACGTTAACTTTTTGACCCGTTAACTCTTGTAGGGGTCCAATTGATGTCCCACGAGGGTTTCTCCGAAGTGGTTTCCGAACGGCGCGGTGTGGCCGCGCCAAATTCTGCATAGCTGTAGACGATTGAATAACAAGTCGTCAGGCATCAAAAATTGATACGTGCCTTATACGGTCACTGACCTATGGTAGATCAAAGTCAGGCGATGGTTTCAGCGAAGTCAATTTCTAGAGAATCGTTCAAT